TGCTCTGACACCTTCCTTGTTATGAAAAACTGGTAATAGCTAGTGGCCAGGGTTGTCAATGAACTGTGATGCCAGAAGCCAAGGCTCAAGTTGATGATGAATTTTTCTCCACCTGTATGCTTCCTCTTTATTCTGTGACATGCTCAGTGGAAATGAGCATGGGGGTCAGTTTCTGTCTTTTCAAGTCTTTGATTTATTTTTTTTTTTCTTGTGGGGAAACAACAAAAAGGACTGTGATAGTGTTTGAGGTATTTTTAATATAGAAATGGTGTACCAGAGATCATTTGGACCTGTGGAACACAAAAAGACAAATCTATTCATAGTAAATAATTAATTGCTTATTTTCAGGAAGCCACTGATGAAACTGAATTAATTTTTAATTTTAGATTATTTTCTAGCTATATGCATCATCAACTCACTAGTTAATTTCCCTGTGGTCTCTACAGGAAGCCATTTGCAGCTGAAATCTTCACCAGAGCTACAGTGTTTTCATAGATGCTGATGTCACTGAATCAAGATTTGCATTTATTTGTGTTTCACTCAGCTGTCCAGTGTCTTCAGGTAAAATGGATTCTGTGCTGCTAAACACTTTTTCCCAGTAGTTACATCAGCAGAGTGAGAGAAACAAAGTTCATGTCAGGCTCTCTAGAGCATCTTAAGGTCTGCCTGTAAGATTGTGCAGATGGAAAAAACAAGCCATGATGAATCTTCCCGAGCAAATGTATGTCAGAGTACCATGAGTCAGCTTGCTGACACTTTTCATATGAGGCCCTCCATCTCCAAATGAACAGGAGTCCATCAATCCTTGTCTCTGTTGTCTATAACAAGCACGTAAATAAACAGTAACTATGTCCTGCTGGAAGTCAGTCACTGAATGCACTTTGTGCAGGGAGGGGGTTACATTTAATCATGTGCTTTGGTTTCCCCTTCAAGGCAAGTGCCCTAGAATGTCACAGGAAGTCCACATAGAGTAGGGATGATGGCAAAGAAACCTCCTATCTTCCGCCATGAAGAGGCAACTAAGCTTTCTGTGGTCATGCTTACAGCTCCTAAGTCCTTCTTGCCATGTCCTGGCTCCTGAAAGCCATCAGCTTTCTACCGTGGCAGAGGCTACCTAAGACTCAGCTCTGATGATCCCCTGCAGAACTCAGGCCTTGTCCAGCTGGAAGTCAGAAGGATCCTATGCAGATCTGATATCTGCAGGATGCAGGGGTTATGTATCACTAAGATACAGTGGCAGATATGCAGCGTGTTCTTGTGACTCTCACCTGGCAGTGCTACCGATCTCTTGCACTACATGAATGCAGATTGTACCCCAGGATATATCCACAGCTCTGAACACAGCCAAGAAGTGTGTAAGCAAAACCAAGCTACTCAAGATACCCAGAGCAATAGAGTCATATTAGTACAATTCTCTGTCTAGGCTAGTAAGCAGAGTTAAGGAGCAGCATATGCTTGCCTTCAGAGATCTCCATGCCTCTATGGCTCTGCTCCTTCCGTAGCCAAGGAAGGCAATGTGGTGCTCGTTTAAATGTCTTCCCATAGCATATAGCCATATTGCCCATGCACACACCTGTCCTGTCACTCTAGTCTTTGAGATCCTAAAAAGGAACCAAATGTACAGTGGAAAAGTAGGAGACAAAGGCATGTTAGGTGAGATAATCACCTTTATTTACTTTTAGTCATTATCACTCATATATTACCTGTGTTTTGGCCATTTTAACAATATGCTTGATCAAGATGTAATTGTACACTGCAGACACTGGACAGTGTGGACCAAAAAGGTGGTCTGTGAACCTGAGAATTTCAAGTTCAATTACAAAATACTAAGAAATACCCTCTAATGACAGGAAAATCACCTGGTTCCATAGTTCAAAAATGGTGATTAGCCAGATTTTTTAAAATTACTCTTTCCCAGAAGCACTACCATGACTGGACTGACCAGACTTTCAAAAGAAGCTTGGGCTCGGTTTTTCTCAGGAAGCTCTGTACATGTGACTTCCCCCATGTAGGACAAACTGCTCAAAAAACTTGAAGTGAAGGAGGCTGTAGCTGGAACATGGGCTCACCAGCACCTTCGTGTCACCTGACACCAGAGGAAGGTACCCTTCCTTCCCTCTCCCACATAGCAGCAAGACTCAGACAAGCAAGACCCTTGTTGGGGTTCGTTTTCAGTTTTGGTTGTCTAGACTGTAACCACACCACTGATGATAGGGTGGCATCTGTCACTGTTTGCCTGATTACACAGTGAGTTACCAGAGGCTAGCTGAGTGCTCAGTGAAGTCGTTCCTGAACAGGTGCTGCTTTCTGCACCCTCCACAGCATGACCTTGGTGAACAAAGACAAAGCACTGCAAAGCACAATGACGACGGGTGCTGCTGAGCACAGGGTTTACAGAGTTAGGGAGAAAAACCCTCTGGAGTGGGAGCTGTGAATAAAGATAGCATATAGTCTGTTAGCTAGCACTGTCTGTTCAATATAACTTTAAATCATTTATTCTGTAAAGAACGGCTGAAGCAAAAGTAAAGTCTTGAGATCCATGCCAGGATAGAAATAAGAGACAAGACTCTCTGGCCTTGCTGAGACATACTTTCTGCAAAGACAGATGAAAAGCAAAAATCCCCTTAACCACCTTCAATCTACCATAATCTTCTCATCTCCCTGCAGAATTGCAAAGGCAATTGACAAGAGTATCAGGAATGCAAAACAGGTATTCCGGGTCAGATCAAGGTCCTTTTTACCTAGTAGCTTATTTCTGACAGAAGTTAGTTGGGGATTCTTAAAGAAAGAGTAGAAAGAGTATATTGCCCCTTTCTCTGGAAAACTCTCCCATTATCTATTAATTTGCAAACGGAATGCTTCCTAAGACAGTGGTTTTATCTTTATGTATTCATGATATGACATATTTTTCTGCTGTGAATGTATCTAATTCCTTTTTAACCTTTTTATGCTTTTGACCTTCACAACTATCCTGTGTCAGCAAGTTCTACACAAACAAAAGAAAATACTTTTCCGCGCAGTTTTAGCTCCTTTTAGCTTGGGTTTTTGATGCTACCTACCTTTTTTATTGTGAGAACTGCTGCATAAACATTCCTTATTTTCTTCTCACCATTCATGATTCCTTATGCATTGAGTGTGTCCTCCTTCAGCTGTTTTTATTACAGTCCACAGTGGACTACTCTATTTATTCTTCCTATATGTTATTTTGTCATGCTGGTTGCCATTCTCTGTACAAATGCCAGTTCTGCTCTACCCTGAAATACAAGAGTTTGGGAAGAAGAGTGAATACATGGGAAAAGGCAGCATGAAGATTCGAACTATAAAAGCTCTCTTTCTTCCACCAGACTCTACTGAAAAGGCTTCAAGGGGAAAGGAAATTACAAGTAACTGTGGAGTTAAGCTTAATATTACAAGAGTTCCAAGCTGTTCAGAAAGCTAAACTTCAGAGTACTCTGTGTCCCACTTTTCTCCCTGTAATCCAGAAGATTCCCATAGTCTTAATCTATGGAAAGAGAGTTTAAAAGTGTAACAGCAGTACATTAAAGGGCTGGCTGGTACAAAAGTCAGGATTGTACCATCTGGCCATCATATATTTGGAATATGCAAGGTGGGCAAAACCAAACTCTCTGAAGCTGTGTCTAGAAAAAGACTAAACTGGTAACTTGTCATATAGCTGTATGAAATGTAGGTCACTCAAAGCACAAATTATACATATTTTGCTCCATAAACTGCTTTGAAATCTGCTGTGGCCTTTGACTGAGAAAAAGATGTCCCTCATTATGAGGGAACAAGGACATCATGGCATATCCAGCTGTCAGATGCTTGTGATGCAAAGTCAAGAAAGGTCAGCAAGACCTAACTAAATACATCTCTGCTGGCCAGGAAATGGATTGTGATTTGCATACCCAGTTTGGTGTTAAGCATATAAATAAATGGGCTGAAGAACTAGAAATACTCCTAGAAAAGCTGAAATTGTGTAAGATTTCAAACTAATATGCTCTTTTTAAAATAGATAAAGAGATTTTCATGCCACCATTTCAAATTTTAATGTATGGCTTCTCTGTGACAGATCCCTAAATTTGTTAAGTGTAGTGCAAAGTAAAGAAAAGCACAAATGCACAGATTAAATAGAAGTTTATTTAACAGTCTTGATTTGTAGATTCTGTTCTGCCACAGATAGCTCAGTTTGAAGTGAGTTCCCTGGTTTCAGGGGAATGTTGTCAGTTTTACAACGCAATAGTGGCAAAATTCAAGCCAGAGTCTTCTTTTTATGCATTCATATAATATTCACATATAAAGACTAAATATGAGAAAACTTCTCCCTTCTCCATGCTGCCCCCAAACTCTCTGAGATGTGGTTTGATTCCGTTAGTCAATGGCACTTATTTTGCCAACTTTAAAAACCATTTTAGAAAATTTAAAAGATAAAATGTTCTGAATTAAGAGCTTCACAACATGGTTTGGTTCCTTTTTAGTATGCTTTTTTTCTTCACAATAGTAAGTGGAAATTTATTTTGAGGAAGGTAAGCCCTGGACTCCAAAAGCTCTTCCAAAGCATCTAAGGATCTGTTACTCCCCATATGCTCTTGTCCCTACAGACACTATTTCTCATCATCTCAAAGGTAGAGCATGTTCAATACTTCCAACATGAATCAGGAGACTATCAGTTACTTATACATAGCTCTCTGCCATCTGATTGGGCACAGAACCAAATTCCTGAATTTGACATTAAATTGCAAATTAACGGTAAAGTTGACCTGTAAGTAGACATGTGGTATAGCCACATGCTTGGAGGATTTCTTGGAATGTTCTTCAAGAGAGGAGTTTGCTATAAACTGACCAATGTACTTACACATTGAGTGATGCTCTTTTATATTTCACTACTAGTATTAATCAATGTGAAATCAATGCTCAGATTGTTATTGGCATATACTTTCTGGAGATATAATCAGGGGGAATATAGCGTTCAGTTTCCAACTTGCTGAGAGTAGACAGTAATTGCCTCTAAGTCATGATCTAAAAATCCAATGCTAAGTGGATATTGAACCACACAAAAGCTCTTACTACAGCAATAGTCACACAAACACACAGCCTTGCAGGCTCGAGGGAGAGTACCGTTATCCAAATGTATCTTTTTTAAGACTTTTGGAAATTGCTCTTACATTAAATGGAAGATCCAGCAGAAAGACACAGTGTTTCCCAACATGTATTTTGAAAAGGGATTTCAAAGAATGGCACTGCAGAGTTCTGTGTTTGGATTTCAGTAGCTTCCAGATCAAATATACTCAGTGTATAAATTAAAAACCTTAGGGAAAAGGGATCTAATAACCAAGGCTACAGATTCATCTGGTTTGTAGTAGTCAAACTGTATTCCTTGCTATCTACAGTATGCCATAGGGTAAGCAGAAAGAAAAAAAAAAGATTAAAATGTTTGGGAGATTATTAAAATTATGATCCTTTAAAGAATAATGACTCCTTATAGGGATACATGTGAATGTATCTCGTTGGCTTAATATTAAACATACCTGGCATCAGTCTTGCTTTCAGTACTACTGTGAACTTTACTGATTTCAGTGGTACACGATTGGACCTGTGCAACTCTTTTCCCTCATGTTTTATTGCCACAATAGCAACAAGCAGAATTGTCTGATTTCAGGTCTCACTGACATGGAGGTGCTTTTCTACCACAGCCCTTTACTTTTGCATTGTGCTCTCTCTCCCCTTTGATCTGTAAAGTTGCTGCACAGTCGCTACACTAGTTTGCCCATTTATTTGGGGGGGGACCTGTAAGGAATAGGGAGATAGAGATAATAAGAAGCCAAACCACTGGACTGAAGAGGATTGCTCTTTTATTGGAAGATAAGGTATCTTTTTGCCTTTTCAGGTACTTAATTTCTCAGAATAATTTTGTGTATGTGGCATATTTTAGAAAAAGACATTAGATCTTAACACAGAAGTTCTTCTGTGTAAAACACTAATGAATGTTCAGATGTGTACAATAACATTTGACATTTAGCTTGAATTAAAGGTGGTCTGAATTAATATTGCTATTATTTCCTGACAGCTAGTTTACAAGAGATGATGACTGTCCTCTTTTTCATCTGTCTCTGGTATTCTGTCTCATATATTCTTGTACTTAGAATGTACACACAAAAGCACAGCTATTAAAGAACATGGCAGTCCACCCTGTGCATTGTGCTAAAGTCTAGATGCTCATCCAGCTTCATGCCTCCTCACAGTCCCAGCCTCCTTGTTCGCTCTGCCCAGTTCTGCCCTAGCTCTTCTGTGCTCCATCACATCTCCTCTCTTTCTGCAGATGCTTTCAGCTATTCATTCTCATTGCATTCCTGACCCATACTTTGTACCAGGCCAGTTCGCCTTTTACAAGGCGAACTTTACATTACATCATCCTGCCTTGCCCCTTGTCAATGTCTAACCTGTCAGACCTTCTGCCTATGACCTTTTCATTTAAAAAAAAAAAAAAAGAAATCCATCCCTCTGTAGATCTTTAGAGGTAGATGACATGTTCTGATGTGGGACAGTTCTAGTCTGAATTAAGTTAGAGTAACTTGGATTGAGCTATGTGTTACTGCAGTGCTCTGTTTAGGACCTGAGTAACCAATTTATGTCTAGGTTGTTACACAGGCACCATTACAATACAAGATAAGCAAGTCTGCTTGCTCTCAGCTCCTGTGTCACACGCTAATGACTGCCTACAGGTGTGCAGGTGGTTAGTCCCTTACAGTGTATAGTATTAGCATATAACTATAAAAACACTCTTCAGAGATTTCAGATGATAAAAACTAGTGACCTTTCTGAACATTTGTAGACTGATTTTCTGAAATTTGAACAGATTCGGGCAAGTTTTCAACAATGCAGCAAAAAGCATAACCCTGATACATAAGCTACTCGCACATTTTGTTTTAATTCTTCATGACAACAAACAGGGACAGTATATCTTCCCAAAGAAAGGTTACCAGATTGTATTAACATTGGCAAAACATTATCTTCTCTCTTTTGTCCAGAAATAGTGAAACTAATCTGATCAAATGCAAAGCAATCACCCCTGCTCCCATCCAGATGGAGGATTTCAGCTCCAGTTAGTATTTGGCAAAGTGAGTGAAAATGAGATTGTACTGTGGCAGTTGCCAGGTAACCTTAAGGTATTCCCACCTATAATACCAGCTGACATTATAAATGACATATATATTACAGATACAATATTTATTTCATGTAGTCACATGTCATTAGTAATGAGAATTTTGTTTGTTTAATTTACCGCATCTTTTCTGATCTGTGTGGAAGATGAAAATACGTCTTCTTAAATACCAAGAGTCTAACTTGAATAATTTCCTTGTTTGGGAACAAATTAGTCCAACAGTTGCTCATGTCAAGGCTAAACTGATCTCTATGGTGCAGAAGAACAAAGCATCATTGACTCATTAACAAACAGTGATGTAGATGTCAGAATAAGAGGATTTAGTCATGTTATCCAAGGATATATAAATACAAAATATATGAAATATAAATCATTGTCTCTTTTATTTTTTTTTTTTAAATAAGCTCTGAAGTTCCATTTGCTTCCATTCAGCCTTGTGCAAAATGTAGTAAACTAATTTACTGTTATTGGCCACTGTATGAAGCAAAGGTCCTTCCTGCAGCAAGGGTCAATCACCGTTATAGAATTTCCCTTCAGAAGCAGAAGCAAGTCCTGTAGCTACCACAATCCTTCCCAATATCATGAATTAACATAGTTCATGTACTCCATGAAGTTGCTTCAGCATATGAGCATTCACTCTACCCTCTGAGGAGGGCAGCAGCAATTCCTGTATTCTCTGCCTTTGTTCTTATCACTATGATAAAGGCTGTTGCTGTAAATAGAGGCTAGCCACAGTAGGTATTTGCAAGACTGTGAGCTAACAGTCCTTCAGTGTCACAGAAGATGGTCCAATAGAGTTACACCAGCAGAAGAGTTAGGCTTATATTTTTTTATGCTGAAGCATATATATACGACAATTTAGAGTCTCTAGTTTCATAATCCAAAGAGAAAATCAAACATCTGTGTGCTAATTAAATTTTATTAATTTAATTAACTTAAAGAGAAATTCAAGGACCA